TCACTTTCAATTCCAGGGGTGGTGCTGGCAGGGTAGTTCCTGACTCTTGTGCAGATTTCAGTAAACTGAGTTGGGTCTCATCTTTTTCTATGCTGGACTGGGATTTGTCTCTCCAGGACCTGCTCTACAGTTAGCATACATCTGTATATGTTCTGACTTCCAAGGTTTTGTTACTTTTTTCCCTTCTTCTGCTCTTAACTATCCTTGTTAATTTTTGCCTTAAACACTTTACTGTTATTTTAGTAAGATTTTGGAAAGAAGCAAAATTATTTGTATATGTCCATTCCACTCTCTTAATTCCCAAGACTGAAATGATTTAAGAATAATGAATATTTTTATGTGACATAATAATTTTACTGTGTGAAAGGCAAAGTAACACAGAATATGGTTATACAGTAACTTAATACAGGTCTGCTGAGAGGGCATTGTTATGGAAAAGTAATGATGGCATGTGTTTCTTGATTGCGTACTATACCTTCAATTTCTAAAAATAATTTTTGGAAAAAAACAAAAATGATTCATCTTCAGTATAAGAAGGTTCACAAATACCAATAAGTGTGAGGATGAAAACAAGAATTATTTTAATTCCACTGCCCAGAACTAACAACGACTAACTGTTTAGTGTATGTTTTCTATGCATTTACCTATGTATATGTGCAAGTATGTTTAAGTGAAGCATACTGTATGTATTATTTTGCTCCTCCTCCATTTTTTCCCACCATAAAAGAATATGTCTTGAGAATTTTTTTTGTACAGAATCCAGAGATAATATTCTCATTAGCAACATCTAACAGCTATTAATGCAGATTATGTGCCAGGTACTGTGCTAACATCTATTTTTTCCTGTTTAATTTATTTTGACATTATTTCAAACTGTAAAATGTACAAAAATATTCACCCAGATACCTCAGATGTTAACACTTTTTCTGTCTGCCTCTGTGTGTGTGTGTGTGAGAGAGAGGGAGGGAGGGAGGGGGGGAGAGAGAGAGAGAGAGAGAGAGAGAGAGAGTGTGTGTGTGTGTGTGTGTGTGTGTGTGTGTGTGTGTGTGTAATCTTGAAATGTTTGAGGCTAAGGTGCAAACCTATTCCCCTATATACCCTAAGTACATGAGAGTGCATTTTAAAAAACAAGGGCCTTCTCTTATGTAATCAGAGTGAAGTTGTCAAAATCAGGAAATTAACATTAATATTATCATCTAGTCTATATACTTGTTCAAATTGCACCCATTGTCCCAATAACACATTTGTATGACAAAAGAAAATTTTGGATCCTGGAGTGGATTCAGTTGTCATATCTCTTTTGTTTCCTTTAATCTGGAGCGTTTCTGGTCTTTGTTCTTTTTGTGAAATTGACATTTTTGAAGACTGCAGGCCAGTTATTTTGTAGAGTGTCTCTAATTTGGCTTTATCTGATATTTTCTTGTAATTGGTTGGATTCAGGTTATCCATTTCTGTCAGGAGTACCACAGAAGAAATGTTATGATTTCATTAAGGCAGTGTCTCTTAGGTTTTCTAGTGTGAAGTTACCGTTTTTCCTTTTGTAGTTTTTTTGGTGACAAAATATATATAACATAAAATTTACCATTTTAATCATTTTTAGCGGGATTAAATACATTCGAATTTCGTTTCTAGTTTTGAAGTATCTTTGACAAAATACTTGAGACTGTGAATATTCTGTTATTTCCTGAAATTTTCCTCACTAATTTTAGTATCCACCAGTGATTTCTGCTTGAATCCTTTTCATGATGGTTCCTAAATGGTGATTTTCTAATTCTATCATTTCTTCTCTGCTTATTTTATAATACTTTCTTCATTTCATTATTTTTATGCTGTCCCTGATTTGGCCAGTGGGAACCCCTTCAAGCTGATTCCTGTCTCCTTTTGGCTTTCTCTTGTCATTAGAGTACTTCCTCACTTTTTACCACAGCAAGATGTTCCAGACCCATCTCATACTTTCCCAGCCTGAGCCTTGGAATGAGTTTTTACTTCCTTAGTAGGGAATAGCTTTATAAGCCAGAATCTGGACTCTCGATGTCCTCATTGCTGCTGCGTGTTATTGCTTCTAGGCCCTCTCAGCAGGCATCTAGGAAATAGATACATGTGATAGATATGTGTGTATCCACAAACATTCATGTACATCTTTATCTGTCTACTGAAAGGAATGAATTTATATTGATAGCACTGAGTCTAATCCAAAACTACAGAATTTTTTCTATCCTTCATTTTATGTTTATAATTCCCTCTCCTAACAGTGAGAAACCTAGCCCCGTTACTCATGTTTTTACTTATTGGCTCAATTCTAGAATATCAGAAAATAAGTTAAGAATTGCTAACTTATACCACTATTTAAAAGACACCTCATAAGTAGAGTTCAGTATTTGTTGATAGTATTTTTTCCTTTAGCATATAATCTAAATCTCCACTGTCTAATAGGGTGGCTACTAAGCCCATGAATCGAGATGTATCATAGGTATAAAATATATACTGCATTTTGAAAACTTACTATGAAATAAGGAATTAATATTTTAATATTTTAATATTATTTATATGTTGAAATATTTTAGCTGTATCATAAAATAAATTAATAAAATTAATTTTTTACCTATTTTTACTTTATTTTAACACAGCCACTAGAAAATATTAAATTATGTATTTAGTGCTTATTATGTTTCTTTTGGACATCGCTAATATAAAAACCATGTTTAAAAGTTACTTGGATTAGCCCTGGATGGTGTCGCTCAGTGGATTGAATGCCAGCCTGCCAAAGGGTTGCTGGTTTGATTCCCAGTCAGGGCACATGCCTGGGTTGAGGGCCAGGTCCCCAGTAGGGGCCGCACAAGAGGCAACCACACATTGATCCAGTTTCTCACCTTCTCTCTCCCTCCCTTCCTCTCTGTCTAAAAATAAATAAAATCTTTTTTAAAAAGTTATTTGGATTAGTTCACTCTCCCCAGCATTCTTCCTTCCCCTATGTTTTTATGTTATTTATTTGAAGTACAGTTCATTTTATTTGTATTCTAAGTTTTTCTGTTCATCCTAGTTGATCTTACATATTTTTGAGAATGCGAAAGATTAATATTGTTCCAGAAGTTCCATCCTTAGAGCAGTGTCACCCATTTTTTTTAATCCTTTCCTTTCCACCCTGTTTCTACCCACCCTCTATAGGTAACCAGTCTCATTTTCTGAATTATTCTTCCTGTGTGTTTTCCCCCAGAAATGAGGAGATACAGCTATATTTCCTTATTTCCTCTTTCCTCTTTTTTTTTTTTAATACACAAAAGGTAAAATACTATGGATACGCTTCTGTACATCCCTTTTTTCACCTAACAACATGATTTGGAATCCATTCCACATCAGTTTATAGAGTTTGCCCACCTCTCTCCCTCCCTCCCTTTGTCTGTTCCTTCCTCCCACAGTTGCAAAGTGCTCTATTGTGAAGATGTTAACCATTTTCTTAAGCTTTTTCTAGTATTTTGCATTTACAAACAGTGCTGCAGTGACTGATAGTTTTAGTTGTTAGGTTTGGATCCCTGATTCATTTGGAGGTTTTTAAAAATGAATATTGTGTGAATTTACTAATCTTTGTACAAATGCTAATTTGTTGTCTCAGTATATATTCTTTAAAAAGTACAATTTTGCCCCAGTGTTTCGTGATACCACCTTTATCATACATTATTTCAAGTTTATTTCTGGATTTTCTGTTTTTCCTTCTTTACTAGTCTGTATTCCTGCACCATTATCACAGTTTTAATTATATGTATATCAAAGGCTTCTAAAATATTTTACTGTTTTATTGGCTATTACATGTTTATTTTTTTCTATTGAACTTCAGTAACAGCTGTCTCTGTAAAAAAGCTTACTCGTATTAGGATTTTTATTGGGATTATGTTAAAATTATAACTTAATTTAGGGAGAACTGACATCGGTATGATGTTGAGTTGTGAGTTTTCTGTCCAAAAACAAGGAATATCTTTCCATTTACTCAGCTCTACTTTTGTGTCACAGGACTGTTTTAAAGTTTTCTTTTTATCGGTTTTGTACACTTCTTGTTTTTTTCTTGTACACTTCTTGTTAAATTCGCCATTTTTATAAAACTTACTGTATGTTTTATAGATATTTCAATATTTGTAAAGCTACACTATTGTTTTTAATGTCTGTATTGTTTCAGACAATATAGGTATACTGTAATTTATTTACTCTGACCCATGTAGATGGACATTAAAATTGTTTATAATTTTTTATTCTGTATAATTTTTCAGTCTACATTCACCAAAACAGGAACTTACTGCTTTTAAAAAAAATCTTTGCCAGTTTGATGGGCAATAAAGAATATATTTATTTTTCTTTGCTAACTGATGTTAATTTTAATCATCCATCCAAATATCCATTCAGCATACTCTTACTAAGCATCCACCATGTGCCTGTAAGAACTATAGTAATGACTGGAAGTTGAATATCTTTTTGTGTGTGTGATTTTTTTTTGTTTGTTTGTTTCCTAAGAGAAAGGGGAAGGGAGGAAGAGAAACATCAATGCGAGAGAGAAACATCCACTTCTAGGTGCCCTGACCAGGGACCAAACCTGCAACCTAGGCATGTGCCCTGACTGGGAATCAAACCTGCCACCTTTCTCTTTGCTGGACAGTGCCCATCCACCTGAGCCATGCTGGTCAGGTCTCTTTTTGTGTTTTTGATCATTTGTATTTTTTTGTTTCATATCTATCTCTCGTTTTTTTTTTAATGGCAGTTAATAGGAGTTTCTCCCCTTTCAAACTAGTTCTCAGAAGACTGTAGAATGAGAGATGACATTTCTTTACTCTGTTTTGTTGATGAGCTTTAAAATGTACTATTACATGTATGTATTTATTTTCATTGCACAATCTACGATAAATCACTGTGTTAAACTCAATATTCACAAAATGAGTGCGTGAAGTGCACAGTTGTCAAAGAAGTGATAACTACCTGTCTTTATAAAAATAACTTTCATTATTATTATTTTTCAGGTGAGGCTGCTGTGTCTATCAGAAGGGAACTTTGGTACCATTTTCCTTCAGAGTCTATCTGTTCTGGTTTTATTATTCAAAAAATAAATGTTACTTACCTGGTAAGTCAGTTAAGTACACTTATGCATATTTTATAAAAAATACTGTTCATTTACTCTAAATATTTGTTTGCTTATATTTTGTTTCTTCGCTGTCATTATTTTTTATAACTCTCATGTAAAACAAGTTTTAAAATGGCAATTTCCTGAAAGACTTAGGCTCTTTGGAAGATTTTCTTTTCTTCACTGTCTTTCTTAATTTCGTTGTTTGTTGTAAAGAGGGAGGAGGCTGGTTAAAAACTGGAATCAGTTCTCAAAGATGGATTTCTAGTTTTGCCTCCTTCATTCTCTTTCCACTGGAAAAACTGAGAAGTAACATCCTTCTTTTTAAACTGTAGCTTCCCTATAGATCATACAGATGCATTGCAAAGATGCATTGTTACTGTAAGAGTTAAAGAATAGATAATTAAGTCTGGTAAAGCATAATAAAGGAGAATGAATCTATCAAATAACTTGGAAATGAAAAATAGATATTTAGTGAAATTGATTTCAGTTTTTTAATATTATTTTTTAGGTGTTTATTTTCAATTAACATTTTTTTTAAAGAACGTTTATTAAATTGGTGGGACCTACTGTTTTGTAAGATGTTTTTCTGACCTATATCCTCTGATGATCTTTGCTGTCCGTTTCAGCTTCTGACTGTCATGTGTAGACAGTGGTAACTGGGAAGCTGATATGTAGGGTAAAGGTTTCAGTAGTAACAAGAGGGTCAGTCAGAGGAACTGTTAGAAGATAATTGTACTCGTGTGCTGTTTAAGCACGTGGCAAAAAATTGGACAGAAACTATAATGGAATAATATTGGTGATTCACAGAGTTTTCTTTTAAATAATTTTGCATAGCAAGTGAGAAGTAAATGTTGATATTGACAGCTGAGCTTAAAGTATTCCCAGGTGGACTCTAACAATGAGGAGACTTAGACACAGAAAAAAGGGGAAGATGATTCTCTTTTGATATGATTTTTGGTAGTCTCTTTGCTTTTGTTAGCATCAGAAAGCTGATTTCAGATGTTCCTAGATGGTGCGTATGCCTCATATAAGTAGAGGCATGGGATTTCATTGTGCATGACTCTGAAATGGCCCAGATCTCAGAGCAAACCAAAGTGAGTTTTAATCTTGGTTATTTAAAATCTCCTTGTACCTGTCTTATTAGGAGTATTATTTTTTTAAGAGGAAACTAATTTACAACTGGCTATAAAGAATGACATTGTATCCAGGAAAATGCTGTACTAACACGCTGCACTGTCCCACAAGAGTACTTCTCAAGTCCCCTAACGCAGTGCTGACAATCTGTGACAGCCTGTGAATTGTTGTGGAGCAGTTGGGGGAAGATGGGCAGCAGAGCAAGGTGGTTGTGTGTAAATTATAGAGGAGCTGGGAAGGGGATGAAGTGAGAGAAGAGCAAAGCAGTTGGGTTCTGTAGGCAGTTTGAATGGAATCTGTTCTCCTTGTTAGTTGTGCTAACAAGATGAAATAAACAACTCTAGTGTATGTGGGGGTTCAAGGTGTTACTGTTTCATTCTGTCATCAAAACTGTAAGGGTAGATGTTCTTTTGATAAGAGTATGGATTGGATAGATTTAAAAATTTTGAAGAGACTAGAAGTAACACTTCATCCCAGGAAATGAGACTATAAAAGTCAGGGTAATAGGGATTGGGTTTATCTTTTCAAGGCATTATTGCAATGGCAGTAAGACCAGTTACCATATCTAGAGTCAAATGTATATCCTGTTGTTTATTTACTTTTTTAAATTTATGTAACATGTATGTGTATGTGCACATACCACCAGCTGTTATTTTTTCAGAGACTCCCAAATATAACAGTCTTCATCAGATATCAAGGCAAGAGTTTCTGGATATTGTTTGAACCATGGAGTAGAATTTAATGTGGAGCAGATTTTGGTTCAATTCTTTCTCTGATTATGAGAATGGATATACAAAGTGTATTTGATGGTTCTGCGAGGTATTATGTCTAATTCTGAATATGGGATTAGGCTTGGGACACATTGTTTTAGAGCCCACCTCTCCTGTTGATCCTGTTTCTGGTTTTTGGTTAAAATGTTACTGCTTGGTCATTTGATACCATTGGATTAAATAAGCATAAAAGATGTCAGTGTGAAGATTGTGTGCTATTTTATCACCTCTATACTGATGGTCCATATTAAAAGGGATGCCAGGGTAAATGAAAGGGCATATGGAGTAAAGGAAGATATGGAGAAGATCTAGAAATACTGTAATAGTATCATTTCTCTGGAATTATCTGTAAGGTCTAGGCTCAGCTCTCCATTGCCTAGGATATTGAATGCCTAAACTTAGTGTTGAGGTACCTCTTATTGAAAACAGTCTTTCTGGCAGAATCTTCCACTGCTTTCCAACATTGAACTCTCCCTAGGCTAGTTTCTGTATCAGTCTCCAAAGCAACAGTTTTTGACTTACAACCTCTTCATATTGTTTAGGCTGTTCTTTCTGCTTGGAATGTCTCCCTTCAATTCTTTGTCTTCTAAAGGCCTCGTTCCTTACCGTGTAAGGAACATATCGTAAGGTATATAAAAGTCAAATCACTATGTTGTATACCTTCAACTAATATATTATTGTATGCCAACTATACTTTACTTTTTTAATAAAAAGTAAAATAAATTTAATAAATGAAGGTCTGGTTCCAATTCCACCTACTTTATGACATCTTCTTCAACCATTCTACTTAGCGATAGGCTTTCTCTGGGTTTTTATTGTTTACTGCTTTTCTCTTTATTTGACAATTATATACCACCTTAAAATAACTTAAAAAAAATTCTTATCCTCCCAGTTAGGTAGAGACGACTTAAAGGGGAGGGGGGGTATATTATTCACGTGGTTCAAACCATGTTATTACTTGTCCTACATTATTATCTTCATTGTCCCTAACATAGATATTAGTATAATATGTACACTTAATATTTGTTTGCAAGTAATTACCTATTGTTAGCTTTTACCAGTCTTATCTTTCTTTTAACATCATAAGAATAATAGATTAGAATGCAGTTTAAGTACCTTGGCCATGTTTGTTCAGTAGATTATTCTTTCTTGAAAGCTTTCTGTAGCACTCTGTACTGGCTTCCTGATCCTTAAAGGAGCATTGCTCTGAAGATATGGTTGTATTCTAAGGTAATTTATTACTCTTGAAACTCTAATTAGTAAACTTCATTTGCATATAAGAGAAACTCCTCTTTATTAATTATTTAATATTTTCTTTGCCTGATTTAAAGTGAAATTTGCTTTGAAGTCTTTTGGTTTCTCAGTTTCTTACCAGCCACATTTGGCCTTTACACTTGCTAGCATAGCTGCAAGGAGGGAGGATATAGATAGAATTGTAACTATTTCTGACATACAGATTCTACCTCCTTTACAATTATTCTCTTGTTGCTATTGCACTTCAGTGTTTTGTTTTGTTTTTTAATTATGCTATGCTTTACTTTATCCCATTTTTTAGAAGGCATGTATTGTAATTAGTAGTTGTTAAGTGCAGGAATTTTGAAATTCTAACCAACACTAAAGCTGTAACTTAAGTTTCAGATATCTAACCTGTAAAATTGAGATAATTGCTACTACCTGTTAGTATGTAGTTGGGGTATATATAAAATACCATAGATAAGCCTGTGCTTTCAAAATTGACTCAGTGGTTTATTAGCTGTAGTCTGTGTATCCACAATGAGGAAAAAGATCAAGTTTCATGCATGTCAGGTTTGAGGTACAGTCCCCAAAGCCTTATCCATTTCAACTCTTTTACTGTTACTATAGGACATAGGATATTTGTAACCTGGGATAGATCCAGGAGAGTAACTAATTTCAAGTAAGTCTAGAAGCACAGATCAACCTTTAAATGTATAGTGAGGGAAAGAAGTTTTAGAAGGAAGTTTTTAACTTCTCTTTCCATCCTCCCAACCCCTGCCCAAGGTAGATTTACTGAGTAGAAAGAAGACTTTTATCTCTACCTTTCTATTACATATTATATTGTTATTGTTCAGTTATATTAAAGCTTTAATCGGACTGCCTTTTGAGATGGCCTATAATAATAGGTGCTAACATTAAACTTGGTGAACCATGGGGTTACCGTATCAATGGAGTGTGAAAGAGAACTAAGCTGCAGGCTGGTTCCCAGCCTGTAAGCCATGAAATCAGTTGTTGCTGATGCATGACTGTAGTCAGTGGAGTGTAAAATAAGTTGGGGGCATGAATTGTGTTATGTTTTGAGAAAAGCCTTTCCATGCCATAGTTTGTTTATGTCTTTTGGTGCCCCCAAGATCCTACTGGAATCATGTATCCTGTGTTTTTCATTTTGTTGATACTCAGATTTATCATGAAATATTTCTTCCAGTTACATAAGCTGTATTCTTTGTCCAACTGTGTGAAGAGAGACAAATACTATAATGTCCAAGGCAGACTAAAAATAAAATACTACAACTATTATATTCTGCTTAAAATTACATTTGAAAAACCATCTGTAGTAGGCATTTGATGTATAAGTTTCTGGTGTTTTTACATTCAGATTTGAAATTGTGTTCCACATTCCCCTTTAAAGCTTCTTCTAGTCAGAGAACTCTGTTATCAATTTCACTGGTCATTGTTCCCATGCTCACATGTGGCTCTGGAGAAAGGGAAGTGTGTAAAGAAGGACAAAGTTTGGTTGGAGGTGTTCTAATCGGAAGTATAGAGATTATTGTTAAGGGGAGAAGAAGAGAGGGAGTCCTCTCCTGACACCATATGGCTTTGAGGGTGAGGCAAGGTGAATGAGAAAGCTTCAGAGGCAGTAGCAAATTTTTATTGTCAGCACTTTTAAGTCTGGAAGGTTATTGGGAATGGGCAAGTCATGAAATTTCTTTCATTCTAGTTACCATATTTTGCCATATATGAAGTGTACTTTTTTGCCCAAATTTTTGAAGGAAAAATAAATTAGTACTGCACATGAGCATTGCACATGGGTAGTACTAACTCCGTATCTGTATAAATGTTTTTTAATTCTTTTATTTA